AGCCGAGAACCGTCACTCTACTATCAAATGAGGAGAGGGTGTTTGCCTCTCCGCAACACTGGGGGGGGGGGCAGTATAGACTCTCTGCATCACCCAAAGCTATAGGCTAGGTGTCAGTATAGAGCTCCAAGAACATCGCCATATTGGCTGCTTCCTAAAGCAAAGAAGAAAATCACCCACTGCTAATTTAAAGACAGACTGAGATTTCTGCTAAAACAGCACTGCCTTATCAGCCGCAGTGGACTGTGATTGAAGTTCTGTGATATCTGAGACTAGATGTGTTACAGTATTGGACTGGATGAAATTCATATGTGTTTTCCTCTCATGTTCCATCCAGCACTCTCGGCTGGTATTGGCCTGATACCGATACTGGGTATCAGATCTCAGATCAGCATCATCTCTAATTTCCTCTGCGCTGTAAGACAGGAGGCTCTCACACCAGTGAAAATATCATAGCTGACTCAAGAAGGAAGCAGTCTGTGGAGGAATTCTAACGGAGAAATCATGGACTACACTGAATTGAACACGATGACATGGGAAACATATGACACAATACCAGAGTTGCAGACCAGAGGTGGGGACAGCTGGTGACAGCATTACTGCAGTAACCAGCACACAATCAATGTCATTCCCATTCCATCATTCCCCACAGAGGACTTGAAACTGATTTTCCAAACTCTGCCAGACAGCCAGGCTATTTTTAGAGCATCTGTAACACCATATATTTAGAAGCAGGGACTATGCATTGACTAGGCTTTTCAGGGGGATATCATCATCAGGGCCTATTAAATTGATTTGGAGGCTCAGATGCACAAGCATCACCTCCTCCAGAGGTGCCAAGCGCAATCAAATGTTTTGACAGCACTGCAAATCAGGGATGAAGGGAGACGGCACAATGCTTGTGCTTCTTTGGACAAACCTGACCTCCTTGATCAATCACAGCAATGTGGGGGGCACTCAGCAGCTCACCCGGCTCATTCGAGAGGGGGTGTGGAGAACTGAGAATAGCTGCAGTCCATTCTGTCTGGCTGTCACTTCTCATTAGGCCCGGCTAAACTCGAGCATTTGGTTGCTCTCTGGATGTTTGGCAAATCCAATCATAGATCTTGAGTGTTTTACTGCTTTATGGACACGGACGGTCACGGCTCTTCTGATTACTCGGCATTGACGGGATTTGGGGGATACAGTGGTCCGAGGCAATGTGAGGTAAAATGCAAATATGTGATAAAAATGGATAATACCCCATCCCGAACACACGTGCTGCATGTTTACCTAAAGACAGGTACGGTATTTTGGCTGTAATGACTCATGAAACGTTAAGGCTTCACAGAATTTCATCAATCAGGTCGATAATTTTTCATTGATGCCAGCCTATCTGGTCATAAAGAAGTGGGTCTACATCTCATAAATCCAGAATAACGTCTTAAACTCAGGTTATTTTGGATGAACACTTACTTTAATGGACCTTTTCTTGTTGAGTGGGGTAGTTTCTTGTGTTTTTTTTAGTTAATTTACATATGGCAGCAGCCCATGAGCAGTTATTGCTCTTCTTCAAACTCATCACTCACCACTGAGCAGTAGTAAGTAGCAATGCTGTCAAAAAGTCAATATTCAAATATTTAGAAAATCCAATGGAAAAAATTCACATTCAAAAGTAAAAATGTTCATTGCAATATTTAAGATGAACTCTTTATGCTTCATAATTTTTCATATTTTTTCCCAATATGTTAAACACAGCACACAAACACTAAAATTGTATTAAAATAAAAAAAGACATATTTAAGAATGTTCTCTGTAGAGGATGTGTTTTTTCACAAAATCAACTAAACATGCAGTTTGACCGTTTATTTAAACTTTAGTGTAAGACTCTCTGTGCCCGTGTACCTATTCTGATAACCAGCCTGCAAGTGGTGACCCTGAGCCTGAGGATCACTGGTTTAAACACGATGTGCTTTTGGGGACTCTAGATCATTTAAGCTGAGCCCCCCTGGTGGATTTAGGACACATAACCATGACATGGACATTCACAGCAGTGCAGCAACTTATTTTTAAATAATATATTTTTAAATGATGTATTTACAATTTAAAGATATTTGAATATTCAAATGGAAATTCTACGTTTATTTCTGATCTCATCTGACAGCCCTACTGAACAGAATATAGACATAAGGTAATTTATAATTAAACGACACTGGACACGGGAGGGCAACTCACCAATTAATTTAAAATAGTAGGACAGTGGAGCTTTAGAGACTGTAGCTTTAACATGGTGAAGTACATCACAACAGGATGTACAGTTCCAGGTAAAACTGCATAGGTGATCTCTGGTGATCTAGCTTAAAATAGGACAATAAACAAACAGATGTAGATTTAGCCCAAAGCAAAACTAACCATGCTAAACTCGCCTTGCATATGGATCCAAGTTAGTGGACTCCCTTTGATAAGCTACGTGATAAAGAAGAACAAATTAAATAAATAAGGATTTCAGGTCATTTATCATGTTTAGGTCATTTATCATTTAAAGTCAAGGTTAAACTGTGCAAACTATGAAAGACGATGCTCATAAACATGCAAATCCATAACAAAAAACAAACCCTCAGAGAAAAGAGCGAGTCTGACAGAAAGAGAAGTGAGAGCTCTTTTCCTGAAATGTTCAGTCAGACAAGATTGCACATCTCCTTGACACAGCTGTGCTGCTGAGCTGTTGATGAACCTCCATCTGTGACTCACTTGACGGACCAAATGATCACCTTTCATCCACACCCTCCGTCAAGAGAAGGACACATCAGTGTAAGCACTTTGCGTTTATGTAATGTGTGTGTGTGTGTGTGTTTGGGTGTGTAGGCCAGCAGAGTGGAGACTCATCAAAAGGCCACAGGTTAGTTTCCTGCACATTTCATTGAGCAAACCAAGACTAACAATCTAGTAAAGGTGAACGTCAACTAACGTTAAAGTTAAATTCATCGCAAGTGACCCAAAGAAATTTAAGACTTTTGAGAAAACTTACAAGTACTTAATTTACAGCATGTAGCAAACACTCTAATACAGAGAGATCTGGAAAACTGGTTTATTGTCTCCTTGAAAAACAAATTCTTAAGCTTCCGCAAATAGACTAGAGTCCAAAGATACCCTTGAGCTACGACACTGTCAGAAACGGGAGCCTCACCTGTCACAAAATTTTAGCAGATGATTAACTGTCATATAAATTACTGAAATTACCTATTTGGGTTATTTTTTTTTACTGCACAAAACTATTAAAGTGCAAGGCTAAAAAGTGGCCAAGTTGGTTGATCAGCTGTCTTGCTTCTGAACTGTCGTTAATTAGTAGCTCCCAACTGATGATACAGCTTGAGCCCAAATAATGAAAAAATAATAAATTACTCCATTAAGAATCTAGAACTTTTGTAATTTTCTGGTTTCTTTTATTAACACGTTTATGCCTCAACTGAACTGATGACAATTCACCAATCTGTGAAAGCTACCGACTGTGGAGGATAACTGTGGTCAGCCTGAAAAACTGCAATCAGCTTAAACGACTGTGATTAGACAATGATAAGAGGTAAACAAGTCAGTGCAGTTACTAAGACACAAAAACACAGAGACACGGAATAGTAGAGACACTGTAGCTCTAACACTATGAGCCTGTTTACACCTTGAATCATCACACGCTTTCAGTGATCGGATCACGTTTGGATTTCACTTAATCGCATGAAGTGCCGATGTAAACACCCCCAGGACTGTGAGCAGATTACGATCAGGCCAGAAAAAAGCACATTCGGAGGTGGTCAGAGACAGATCTTCACCACACTCAGCACAAGTGTAAACGGAATGTGTTTTGTTATATATATATATATATATGTGTGTGTGTGTGTAATCTTAAGTTGTATCATAAAGGGGACAAAAGTAAACAAAAAAGGAAATTTGGAAACGATGAACGCACTGATGTGCTTTTTATGTGGGAAAAGCACAGTCAGATCTTATCTGGTCACATTGAGGATGTATTTTAGTGAAAAGTGCAAAAGGATTCCGGCTAAAGTTTATCCAGATGTGATCTAGACACAAAACACAGGTTAATGTAAGGTGTAAACAGGCTCTATAACTGCTATAATACAAGACAGTCAACATAACAGAGACTTTCATGACAGGTTTGCCAAAACCACTAAGACACTATTTCCCAGCACCAGCAAATACCCACAAATGGAGCAAATGACGTTCAGGCACGCATCCCAGGGATAGAAACTGGTTAAAATTACAACCTTGCTACTCCCAGCAAGCGCACTTCGGACTGATTCCATAAAGAGCTGCGAGTGGTTTGGATGAGCGCGCAGGAAGCGAATTTCACACCTGATGTGGCCCACATCGATAATTGGCATGAAAAGGCTTAATTCTACACTCATGTAATGCAGGGCTGGGAATTGCTTTCTCATTGGAGCGTTCTAGCATCCCTGTCAATCAAAAAGGTATTGCAGCAATGTGTCCATCATATGTTCACACTCTGCAAAGACCCATAATTATAATTCATAGAAAAAAAATATTCCTTTTCCGAGCACAAGCCAAAACCTTTAAATTTGGTTAAAGTCAGGGCTCAGTGGCATCACCTGATAAGCCAGCCAATTTGTGGAAATGCTATATACTTATGCACATACATGCAAACAAATACATCCTCGAACCACCCAGTGGTCTTCCTTGTTGACTTCATGCCTTCCACCCAATGACTGCTGGCAGAGGGATAAGCGGCTTAAAAAATGTGTGTGCGTGTGTGTGCGTGTGTGTGTGTGTGTGTGTGTGTGTGTGAATGCAAAATTCTCAACTTTAACCAAGTAAACAATCACTGTGGGACTCTACAGCCACTGTGGTGTCAGATGTTGTCACTGTCAATGCCAACACTGTCAAAGTCAAGCGAAACTGCCCTAATCAGACTCGCCGAGGAAGAGTTTGTACATTTAGCTGCATCAGCAGCTTCCTGCAGGAGTGCAAGAGTAAAACGAGTTTGACCTTACCTTGCCCTCCTGCTCCTCAAACACAGACTGGTCCACATTGCAGGCAAAGAGGGAGGTAGGGAGGTCATTGAAATCGGTGATCTGATGGAAACTGTCTCCCAGTGAGGTGTCTCCTACAGTGGACTGCAGGACCACTAGCTCCTCTCCTCCAAGGAGGTAGACCCGCCGGAAGAATGGAGCACCGCTGGCAAATAAATGCTCTCCTTTCATGGCTGAGGGAACAAACAAATGTCAAATAGGTACTGTCTCCTCCATTCATATTTCTTATTTTGCCCCTAATGGTCAGATTTCAAGGATTCCTATGCTAGTTAAAGGAAACTTCAGCAGTTTTGGCAACAGCTGCAAACACTTATCTCAGTGGGAGACGTCAGTCTTCTAGATGCAGTGACACGTGCCTCAGTGCGAAGTAACTTAATAATGTCCGACACAACGCAGACGTTTCTGTGTATTTATTTATTATTCATAAAGCATTCTAATTTGTATGACTGTGGTCTTCCCAGAGTTGCAATTTCACAAGCCAGCAATTTCAAGCCACGTCTCTTCCTTCCTCTTTATGCTGTACTGTAAATACATTGCATTATTCATTCAGTCCTGCTCTCAGACGCTTCATTGAAATGAACAGTCACGTATCTGTAACCTTATGGGAGGTGAAAGAGTTGAGCAGGAGAGTCTTTTTGAGCCTTTCTCACTGAGGAAGTGGAGCGAGCTGAAAGCAGACAGTGTCAGGGGAGGAAAAAAAAAAATCACTGTAAGCCCTCCTGACAGGAGACGAGTGGAAACGGAACAGTTACCTCCTGGAACCTTGGTGAGCAGATGTTAACCTGTGGTCCGGGGCACTAATGCTCTGCCAGAAGATTAAGTGATGGGCTTAAGTCAAATATGGGCTCTTGACAGCCCACCCCAGTGTCACATAGGGGGTCTCGAACCGACCCACATCTCTGGTCGGCAGGCAAGCCAGCACTGTCACCAGCATCATACGCGCTGTTAAACCTCCTGCAGCTATTTTGGGATCAATAGCCCCATCACCAGTCACACACCCACCCACACAGTTTCAGTCTCACTCTGGCTATAGATAGAGGCTGGAGCTGTCTGGCTCATTCTATCCTGTGTAAACGACGCTAAAAATAGGCCGAGGACTAATGAAATGCAGAGATCGCTTGGCACTTGATTAAAATGAAGTGTTCCAGACGAGGCCCTATTTCATTTGCAATATCAGCATGACCTTGTTCTCAGGCAACACTGCTTATCAGCCGTACAGGAATACTGACACGCCACAGCCTCTTGGCTTCAGTTATGAAGGACATAGCAGTGAATTCAAATTCAGGAAATAGTCCAAAAATAGTCCACAAAGGATTAATTCCCCTCTGGTAATAACAACACATTGCCCAGAATATTGATGTCCAATAATCTAACAATATAACTGAATCTCTCGAACTGTACGGTTGTTTATAGCAGTCTAAGCTACCAGTTTGACTGAGCTTGAGGTGGTTTTAGCTGCACATCTGTGCTACGACAGCATTATGTCCAGAAAAATCACCGCATGGCCGATGTGGAACTGTTACTCATTCATAAAATTCGACTCACAACCCAGTCAGAACGGAAGGTGAGGCAGCCAATCAGAGACGAGTCTGCTGCAACCTGTTTGCTGCATCTCTACTTGAGTCATCAGTTGAGGAGCGGCTCTGTTTCGTCACCGTCTGACACGATTCACTCGTTTCTCTGACACGAACGCAAAATGTCGACATAATGAGACACTTTTATTTTACATCAGTGCTGGAAACGCGAGCTCGAGCGCATTTTGCAAAGCGCTGCGGTTCAGAAAAATCCGCCAGGTGCACATTTTCTCTCAAGGTCAAGCGGGCGGTCAGAAAAGTAGGCTAGTCTCCTCCATCTGCCGTCTTCGACTCCCCCAGACCGGTTTTAGGAAGTTACGGCGGGTTTGCGGATGATTCCAGCACCTGGGCTGGACTTTATCAGGACTCGTTGCCACTTTGGAAAAACAAAGTCGCCACATGACTTTTCGCGACTGCAAATAACGAACGTGTTTAGGCGAAGACGAGATCTCGCGCTAACATTAGAGCGACCAAAGCGGCGAAGTCCCCCGAGAGAACCGTCACGGAGCAAAGCGAGTGGTCGTGCGTACCTGATGATGTGTCAGGCTGTCCGGTGTGAGTCCTCGGCGACGGCTCGGCCCCCTTTTCTCTTCCTCCGTGAATCAGCCTCGCGATTCCAGCTGCGACTCACTGATCTCCTGACGTGAGGCGCGGACGGCTCGGCTCGCCAATGGACGGCCTTCCTCGGCGCTCAAATGATGTTTGCGTTGGCCAGTAATGAAATGCGAGGAGGAGGGAGCATCTTTCACCAATGCGCTCCTCAGACCTCAAAGTGAGGGCTGGAAAAAATTAAACAAATAAAAAATGAAGCCTAAAAAGTTGCAAATGAATGAATGTGTGCAGCGGCTCAGCTCAGCTGGAGACGCGATGAACATTAAAGATGCAATTAAAGTTCATGTAAAATTCCAAGTGACTCGAGACAGCAGCACTCGTTTTGCTGTTGTATGACGTACGACTGAAATAAAGGTTTCTTGGACCAAATGGTGCATAAAATGTATTTTTGTGTTGCTGAGCCAGTTTGGACGCCAAGAATACGCCCCCATGATTGACACTGTTTATATCTAAATCAGTGTAACTATTCAAAAAGGTGCCTCTGCCACATCGGACACGGAGAACGACTCAATACATCTAAACTTTAGAGACTGAGAAACGAATTTAATATTCAGGCTTTTAGTAAACTGCAAAAAAGCAGACAAGACAGTTACACCATGAATATGAAGGCAAATTCACACTAATATTTCTCTCCAATGGAACCTAAGATTTATTTCTCTGTGATTTAAACAGCAATTTATGAACTGCAGTTGACCAAGAATGCTAAATGATGTATGCTAGCAGCTCATATTAGCATTGTGAAGCTTGTTAAGCTTAAGATTAATGTAAAATTCCAAGTGGACTTAAGCGAAGCTTTTCACACAGAGTGTCATTCAGTTCTCCTGTGAAGACCGTATGAACTGACCACTGACGTCCCTGGACTGGTTCACATCTTACTCAACTGGTAGAAAGCAGTTCATAACTCTTGCTGGCTATACTTCCTTCACCTCTGCTGTCACTCAAGTGGTTCCACAAGGTTCAGTACTCAGACCTTTCCTGCTCATTACTTATACACTCCCGCTCTGTTGTATTATACGCTTCAAATTGGATTTTCACTGTTATGTAGATGACATTTATCTCAAGACTAAATCCATTAAAAATCCACCCCTTAGTCATGTGTAAACTTGCCTGAAATTAAAAACTGGATGAAACAACTTCCTCATGCTAAATAGTGATAAGACTGAATTCATGGTCTCGTATTCTTTTCACTGACAATGTAAACATGTCCCTTTCTCCTCTTGTTCGAAATCTGGGTGTCATCCTCAACTCGACTCTTTCATTTGAAGCCCATGTTAGATCTGTTTTTAAAACCTCTTTTTCCACCTCCTCAATATTGCCAACTTTAGACAATGCCTTTCTCAAAATGCTGCTGAAGCTCTTACTCAGTCCTTCATCTCTAGCTGCATTTTATTTTTGTAACTCTTTTCTTTTCTTCATGAGCTCCAGATGGTCTAGAGCTCTGCTGCCTGTGTGAGAACAGTACGATGTAATGTTATCAACAAAATGTCGCCGTCAGACAAAAAAAACTTTAAAGGCATTCTCACCTTTCAATGTAAGTTAATGAAAAGGTATTTTATTCCAAGAGAAAACCAGCATTTTGTCACTGTCGGAAAACAAAACCTTGTATCTCCATTTTTGTAATTTTTTTTACATTTATTACACAACATAAACACCAGCTGGTCTTTACATTTTGTGAAAAAGGGATGATGAATGGACTAATAGAATGTGCCGTTGCAAAACTGACTATAAATATGGTTTTGACAACAATCATTGCTACATTAACACTGCATGTGTGTAAACCACACTGTCCAACATTCATCAGTGCTGGTCTGGGATTAGTCCTGACTGGCACATTGTCTTAATCACCAGCTAATTAATCAGCCTTCCTGAGTTGAACTAGATGCATTACACTGCACAGTAGGGCCACTTCATGACCAGGATTGAGGAGCACTGGCTTGGCTTATCTCTTGCTTGCAGCACCAACAAAGGCCAGTGATGGCATTATTAACCCACTTTCCATTTGGGTCAATATAGAATCAAAATAAACAATGCTGCCACACAGAACACAGAGAAAGACTCATACATTTTGTCTTTACACACTAAGAAAGGGATTAGGTGGAAAACTTCAGTCACAGATATTTCTCTCCAGTGAAACCAAACCTCTATTTCTCTGTGATTTACACAGCGATTATAGTTTTAATTTGATCAACTCTGCTAATGGATGCTAGCAGCTTTGAATTATACACTCCTAACATTAAAAGACAAAACTTAAATGTTACACACTCTACTAATAAATCAGTTACAACAATAAATGGTACTAAAGTCCATACTTATAAAAGGTTGAGTTTTCTATGTTATCCTTTAAGAAAAAGTGCATAAGTTTTATGGTTGTGTTCTATTTTGCAAAGTCCATCAAGCTGCTGGGTTCCCACCAAGTTTGAGGAACTCTAAGTACACATGATGAATAAGACACGTATATGGGACTCATTCCCTTTCAGTGCTTGAGCCAGCTGTGGTTACAGCTCATGAAAATAAACACAGCGGCTGTGTTATTTAGGTAGCTAATAGGGAAAAAAAATCAAATGCTATTTTTAATTGAGCTGGACATATATGGCTGAACTGAAGGAAGATTAATGGTGACCATATCACTGTGCTGTAGTTAGGCAAATATTGCCATAGGAACACATCTGGAGATGCTTAACATAAGGCCATTTTTGTCTGAAACCACTTTCACTGCTTATTTGTAATTTGGCTGTGGGCAGAAACTCACAGTCTCTGGTGTGTGTCATGATACAGATCTGCTAACTGGCTTTAGGCTCTAGATACAGAATAGAGAATTCAGACTTGTGGAGAACCAGTGTAACAAGCAGGTGCAACTCCATTATTGTGTAGCACCTGGTAGTAAAAAACGCACAATTCCAACTGCAATCTAATCTTTACATGCTGCATCCACAGCATTTGGTCTTTATACTTAGACAAGATTAGAAAACCTGTTGACTCAAAACACA